TTCCTGTTGCGTTAATGGCATCCCTTTTCTGATCATTAAATAACTTCACTCTCCTCTTTAGTTTAATATTTACCTAAAAATGCTCCTTTAGGCTCAGCCTTTTACAGGCAAACCTTTGTTTCAGCAAGCCATTCAGTCTTGTAGGCTAGTTTCTCTGAAAACAATCTGATCAAAATCTTTTTTTCTAAAGTCTTGTTTTAGTTAAAAGAAGGGACTTTCCCAGATAGAAGCACCTAACTGACTATTGAGAGAATAGTTCTAAGGGTTCTTATCTACCATGTCTTCATAAGCCAGGTGTAGACAAATTTTGTGGGGATGGGGAAGTGGGAGAATTTTTAAATTAATACTATAGATGACGAAACTTCATCAAGGATTTTTGAGGAGGAAGCCCGAGTAGGCGTGCAGTATTCTTTAACACTGTGTTACTATAAGCATTTATTTGTTCAGAAGCCTTTGGGTGAGTGGTTATTTGGGATATGCATCACTGTTTAATTAAGGAATCAATTTATTGGGACTGGATAGGCATTAGATGGGTTATCTGAGTTTCAGGAAACTCCAGTTGAAGTGACTAGAGTGATTGGCAGAAAAGGTCAAAAAGTTTCTAAGTAAGGGGCTGTGCTTCTTCCTTAAGGTGATCAAAACAACAGACCCTCTGCTATGATCTGTTGGGATTATTGCTCCTTTTCCCCAACTTCCCCACCCAAAGGTTTCATCAGTTTGACTGTGATTTGTAGTTTAAGAGAGCTCTCTCTTACATGTCTATGTTTGGATCTATGACCCAGAGAGGTTGGCAGGGTGAAGTTCGGAGAATTCCACTCACAGCAACTATAATGATCACGTCACTCTGTTATGAACTGAATGTCTATGTCACCTGCCTCCCCCGCCTCAAATTCATATGTTGAAATCTTAACCCCCGAAGTGGTAGTATTAAGAAGGGGAGATTTTGAGGAAGTGATTAGGTCATGAGGATAAAGCCCTTGTTAATGGGATTAGTGCCCTTATGAAAGAGACCAAAGAGAGCTCTCTAACTTCTTTCTGCCATGTGAGGTTACAAGGAGAAGTCTGTAGTCTTTAGTCCAGAACAGGGCTTTCACAAGAATCCAACCATGCTGACACCCTGACCTTGAACTTGCACTCTCCAATACTGTGAGAAATAAATTTCCATTGCTTGTAAGCCACCCAGTCCATGGCATTTTGTGATAGCAGCCTGAACTAACACATTCCCATGCTCACAACTCTGTAGTGCCTCCTATGTTTTTTTGGAGAAACACTGGAATCAATTACACTTTGCAACCTGACCACTGTTTACTCACCTTTCCAGTCACTTCGTTTCATACATGCCTTGCTCTCCATGCACTGGTCATACAGGGATTCTTCTAGTTCCTTGAAATCACACCTTCCACCCACCTTGAGGCCTGCTGACACCCTGTCCTACCTGACCAAAAGCTCTGCACCCCCCACTTTTTCGCTATTTTCTCCCCACCAGCTGCCACACTCAATTTTCAGAGCTCTGGTTAAAGGTCACAGAAGGTCAGGTGCTCTCATTGCAAGTTACTTCTTTCCATGTAGCACACTGTCATGTATATATTTATATATTTGTGTGACTGTCTAATTAAGGCAAATTTTCAAAGAAAGAGCTACTTTAATGAATGAGAGGCAATGCTAGAGTCACACTGTTATTGAGGGGCAACCATAACTAGCAGCTGTTGACCCCTGGTTCAACACTTTCAAACAAATCCTTAAGCAACTGGTGACATACTACATTAGAAAATGCTTCAACTAGACAATCTTGCCTTCCTGTACATTTTTTTTTAAAAACAAGTACACATCTATTTCTACACGTAGTCTATAACACCTGCGAAGTCAGATAGCTTTTGTCTAGAATATGAATACAGTTAAAAAGACTGGCAAATGCTAATAAAATAAAAGAATATAAATAGGCTATCTGCACAATATTTCTTCTCTTTTCCTTCTGTTCCTTCTATAAAATCAGAATAAAGCTTCTTTTTAATAACAATGAAATAACAAGGAATATGTTCTTGTTCTTTAAGTTAACATTCTTGCTTGTACATAACCTCAGAACTAGTATTTCCAATTTTCAGGTGAGGAAGCTTAAGCACAAGATGTTTTAGACACTTGATCAGTCACGTCAGAGCCTGCTGCATGCTTCTCCCAAATCACCTAAATCAATTGCTGTCCTGAGCTTCGGGTATTTCTTCTGTGATGATGGTTATAAATGACCTCTGTAGCAGGGGCCATGCTGCTATGCTAAAGAGATGAAGTGTTTTTCCTGTGGGAGCTCCCAATATCCAGGCACCACTTCTCTAAGCTTCAGGGGTGCTGAAATGGGGAAATGGGGAGGGGGTGGACAGTATGTTGTTGAGGGGCAATCCCAAATGTGGGCAGTGAAAATGTGTTGAATGTGGGGCCTGATTCAAGAGAGTTTAGGGTAGAGAAGATGAGGGATATCTGATGAGGTGTCCTCTAGAAAGTAAGCATCACACATATTTGGTGCCCAGAAACAGAAGGTTAACTTTACAGGACACTCTGCTTAATGTCACCGATGGCCTCTGCCAATGAGGGATCTGTCACAGGAAGATGAATGTAGTCTGCCAAGTTACTGTTCAAACATCCCCCCTTGGGTTCCGTTCAGAATCTCTGAGTCCATTACAATTAAATCTTAAGATGAACTCTAGCTTCAGAGTGTTCAGGGCTTGCTGCCCACTGCTGTGGATCACTTGGGAATATCACTTGTGGGATTGACCAGATTTGCTCCAGGCATATAACAAATGAGATGACCGATAACTCATAGTCTCTGTCAGTTTCCTGTCAGTGGGTGATGAATAAACGGCTCACAGTCAGGCCCCAAGATACATACTCAATACACAGTCTATTTTGTGATTCTAGATAAATGGTGCCCCAACCTCTCTTGAGATTACAGCTAATTACCAATCCCCCAAACCACCACCACCACTCTATTATTTATTGAATAGTTAACAGAGAGCCAGAGTTTGAGTTAAAAGCTTCAGAGAACATCATAGAAAAATAGGTGGTTCCTGCCCTCAGAAACTCATAATCTAGATTCACCTTGTGCTTGTATAAATATCTTCATGAGGACCTAAGGTGATAAGAACAGTAACAATGATAAATAACACTTATGAATACTTACTATGTGCTAGACACTATTTTGACTGTTTTACACATTTTATCTAATTTAATCCTCATAATAACCTTTGTAATTCTATGGAGTACAAGTGATTATTATCCTCATCGTACATATGAAAAAACCAAATGAAAACACAAATAGGCAATTATTTTGAGGTCCTAGAGCTAGCAAGAAGTGGAGTTGGGGCTCAAATCTAGGTGTCGGACTCCAAAAACTAGTATCTTAAATACTCCCTAGAACAATCGTAACTATAATTTAGTAAATATTTCCTATGGGCCAGTCACTGTGTGAAGTTATTTTACATGCATTACTTTATTTAATACTAACAACTAGTGATCACCATCATTTAAATAATACTTTAAAAATGCTTCCTTCCACATTTGTGCAATATCAGTATTATTATAAGGAAACCGAGGCTTAGAGAGACATGAATCTTTCCCAGGGTGAATACTGCAGGACTCAGTCCTTGACCATTGACTCTCACATATTGGCATCATATTATGTCTTGAGGAAAATGTCTTCAAGTTATATCTTAGACAAATATTACCCTATAAAACAATAATATTGCCATTTATATGTGCTTTACTACTAACATTTGGATTTACTTGAGTCCTATGGAAAGTCTCAGTGTTAGTGTCTTAGGTTGTAGATGTCAAAACTGAAGTTCAAAACATGAGGGATTGGTCTGGAGTCATATAACTTCGTCCTTGTTCAGTGACCTGCACTTATTCACTAGTTCTCTTAAGAAACCGGTATGCTGTTATGTTCCAGCCCTTGAGAGACAAAGCCCAATAAGACCCCTGTCTTCTGTAATTCAGAGCAGAAGAGCTGATATTCCTTCCCTCTAAGAATTTCCTGCGTGGTCTATGGATCTACTTTGAACTCATGGTGGAACAATATCCATTTGAAGGAGCTGATGCTCTGATCTCTGTTGGCAAAACTTTGCTCCCAGGGGATCCCTTTCTTGATTTTTCACCTTCCTCTCCCTGAACTCTGGTGAAAAATCGAATTTGCCCTTCTCGAGAGGCATGTAACTGAACACTCAGCCTTGATGGGGAAGCCAGCTCTGCGGGGACTTTTTTAGCCATCTGTAAACAGAGAGTTCTGGTGGCAACCTGAGAACTTAGTCCGTGAACTACATGCAGGACTTCGGAGTGGGAATACACTTTACAAGTCATCAGGTCCAACTCCTAGACAAGGGTCTGGTGGGATTGATGGGGAAGACAAGGATCATTTATGCCAAGAGCCAAACTGCTGTCAACAGCATGGGGAGTGGAACGACCTTGAGGAGGCAACTCCAGAAGTTGGGTGCGGTGCGTAGGTACCAACAGGCCTTTGATGATGATGATGGTGTCGGTGAACAAAATAGTGACCTGCAAGGTTTTTCCTGCACTAGACAGTGAGTTTTTACTCTACTCATTTTCTCTGGCTGTAACTACCCCTGGCAACAAGTGAATGAGAAAAAGCCCTGGCTTTAGAGCTAACGAGACATGAGTTCGAAAAGTTCCTTCTTGCACACGGTCCAGGTCCACGGCACCTTGAAGATGAAGGATTGCAAACTCCCCGAACAACGCAGTGCATAAAAGAGAGGTCTTGCGATTGGAGCTCTCGGATCCCGCAGAGAAGGGGTCAGACGACAGGGCAAGGCGGAAACTCACAGCTTCCTCCCGGAGAGGGGACAAAGGGTCTGGGACGCGCTCCAGCTGCGCCCGGATCTCGGCTGAATCGGACGCCCAGGGTGGAGGAGACTCGAGCCCAGCGGCTACCCAGCGTGTGCCCAGCCCTCCCACCGCTGTCCTGGCTGCCAGGAGGCCGGCCACTGGCGGGAAGGGGCCGGGAAACCTCAGGGCCCCGCGGAGACAGCAGCCGCCTTGTTCCGCAGCTCCGTGGCTTTTTTTTTTTCCTTCCTCCCCACCCCTCCTGCCAGGGGCCAGACATCCCCGCCCCGCCCCCACGTCCTCCCTCTCTGGGGAATTCTTTCCGCCGTGGCTCTGAAAGGGTTAACCTTGGAGCTTTCCGCACCCCCCCACCGCTCCCGCCCAAGATTCCTAAAAAAGAAAGGTGTCGTCTGGTCCGGGATAGAGAAATGACTGATCAAAGCCGGGCGACACTTCCTGTTGCCCGGACGCTCTATATAACGTGATGAGCGCACGGGCTGCACAGACGCACCGCAGCGCTCGCCCTGACGCCGCCGCCTCCCAGCGCTCGGCTTTCCCGGGACCACGATGAACCAGTGGCTGTGCTGCGCCCTCGTGGTAAGTCCCTGGCCTCGGGGACGCGGCGCTGGTGCCCCGGAGCCTGCGGAGGCTGCCTGCCACCTGGTCTCCGGACCTCCCAGCAGACCGGTGGGCAGAAAGCTCGACTCACTCTCCCAACAGAGATTGGGGGTCAGGATGGACCAGGAAAGCTCTTTCACGTTATTTCGTGTTTCCCCCAGGGTGTCCCTTTACACTGCCAAGTTCCTGCTGAGATTATGGAGCAGAGAGAGGAGATCTAGACCTTTTTTGTTTGAATGATTTTTATCCATTTTATGTACTGTCTGTCTTCATCTCAGATTGTTAACGCCCTCGTGTAGTTCATACTATCTCTGCTTAATTAACTTGGACTTTTTTCATTATTATTATTGGCAATGAAGTGGTCCCTTAGGATTAGAGTAAGTTGGAAGTTCTATTCAACTGTTGTAATTAGAATAGAATTTGATGTAGTGACTGACATGATACATCATTAGGCTCACTAGTGCAATTGTTTTAATGACACTTTATTTTTAAAATCGATTATTCCAGTTCTCCACTTCAATGTAACGTGTAAAGTATTGGCGGGACAATGTTAATTATGCTCTAAAATATATTTAAATAATTGAAGTTCAGCACTAAAAAGAGCTAAAATTTGATTTTAAAGTGCTATTTGGAAAAGAAAGGAATTTCTGTGACTTAGCTGCTTTTTTTTTTTTTTTTTTAGCTTAGGTTTTTGATCAATCAAATTAGTAAGGTTTGTAATAGGTTATTCTATGACCAATAGCTTATTTCCTTTTTATCACTAGAGTGTGCAGTACTCGAGATATGAATCAGACATTCATGCCAGGCTAGGAAAATCCATATTTAAGCCACATATGTACTTTGGATGAGGTGGAGGAAATGTTTGAGTTTCAACCTCCAACCCACAAATAGTGAATGGAAGGCTAGGTAATCTTCCATTTAGTTCCCAGGATACACAAACTTAAATAGGTAATTAAATAGCACAGTCACCAAAGAAAAGGTAGGTTGTGCAGGAGTCCACACTTAAGTAAGTTAGATAAACAGATACACAGATAGATAGATTGATCCACCAATATGGGTAGTATGGAGAACTGTTCTAAAAGAGAAACTTTATTAAGATATAATACATAGAGAATTGCACGAGTCATAGGTGCCTAACGAAGTTTCTCAGAGTGAGCACTTGCCAGCTAGCATGCAGATCAAGAGATACATTATTAGTACCTCAGAAGCTTCTTGTTGAGCCTGCTCCCTGTCACTACTATGTCCAAGGCCAGAGTAATCAGTATTTTGAATTGAACACCACAGATGAGTTTTGCTTCTATTTGAAATTCACATAAGTGGACTACATGCACTTTTTTTTTGCATCTGGCTCCTTTCACTCAAAATTGTGTTGTGAGATTCATCTCTACTGTTGGATGTATATACAATAGTCCATCCATTTTCGTTGCTGTATAGTATTCCATTGGATGGATACACTACATTTGATTTAGTCATTACAGTTTGTGGCTAGTGATTAACATGGGGACACTTATTTTTCCTACCCCTTTGTATTAAATCTGTCAAAGATTTAATTAATAATAAACATACTGCCAATGGCTTTTGAATTTTAAGATTTCTGCTAAATAATCTATGTTCCTAATTTTAAGTCTATTTTAAAATAGACAGATGTTTTTGTATGTGGTCTGTGTAGGGAGATACGTGTGTAGGTAATACTAATTTTAGATGATACAGCATTTTCAGAAGAGAAGATTCTGTATGTATTTTGAATATAATAAATTAAATAGGAAGGATTTTGCTCTCCCTTTCTTTAGTTTTTGAGACTGACTTTATTTTTAAAATGACTAGAAATGAACACTTTGTTCTTACACATAAGAGTCCAAATGCCCTTTTGTAAACACCATGGTGCAGTTCTAGGTGCTGAAAGCACTACAGATATTGTCCCAGGCATGCCACTAGGTACTAGGCACAGAGTGAAAACCAAGATAGACACCATTCCTGCTCCATGGACTTCACAGCCTAATGGAGAGGATATTGGACAAGAAACTGTTTGTATAATTAGAGTTACAAAATAGGAAGGACTGGGTAATAGAGAACATAAAAGGTCCTGCCCTCCAGGACCTTATAAGGGAAGTTGCAGTGCAGTGGTTGTTAGTTAGACCAACATCCAAATACCTGTACCACCACTTACCTGGGACGTGACTGTGGCCAAGTCACTTCTCTCTTGAGTTTAATTTTCTCTTTTATAAAATGGTAATAATGATATACATACTTCCAAGATAACCACATAAAGTTGCTGCTTCATATTAGTACTAGCTTTTAGCGTTATGCTCATAAATAACTATAGGACAATTTAGAGCCAAGTGAATTATGTAAATGAAGTGCCAATGACACTCAGAGGCAGGAGAGACAACTACCTACTATCGCCTTAAAGGAGAGGTAGGATGCTTCATTGTTGGAGATAAAAATGCAGGTGTCCTGGGCTCAAGAAGTGGGAGAAAGCAAAACTGTGTAGCAAAGTAGAATTCTAGATTCTTTTTGTGAGAGCAGGAAATACTCTGGTAGGCAAGCAGTGAAGCAGGTGGGGTTGGGATGTCATCATTAGGACTAATGCCATAGTTATGTACTTTCCTGGAATGCTCACTAATAGATTTTAGGAGAGACCTTCTGTGCAAGGTGAGACAGTAATAAAACCAAGTTGTTTCTTTCACGGTTGCCCATGAATTACCTGATATAGTGGGAAGACTGTGGCCTAAGTCTAGATTTTAACTGGTGGGTGAAACTTGCCATCATGTATTGCCAGAACCACCTATTGAACTTCTGAAAGCTAAGTTCTGAATTAATGCTATGATTCTAGAAGTTGGGATGGGAGGGATGTGGGGTGTGGGGAAGTAGATGTGATGTTGTTTCTTAGGACAACTGCCTGATCTGCCTGCCTTCCTTTAGGATAATACTCTTTGGGGCTTCTGACTTTTTGTTGTTTTGTTGTTGTTGATTTTGGTTTCTTTCCTCATTTGAGTTTGTATATTTGCCTAGCCTTTTTTTTTTTTAAAGAGAATAAATACTCTGAAGTTTATAGGAGAATCTGACATATACTTAATCCAAAACAGTTCTATCCACAGCAACCTTTCTGGCCTCAGTCACCTAGCAACCTCCAGCATAGTACTTCATTTCAATTTGGTTTTTCATTTACTTTTTAGGCTAAAACAAGTTGTCAAATTCCATTGGTTGAGAAAGAGAGCATTTTACGCCAGATGTTTTATCCAGTTAATTCTAGAAGAAGAGTTATGGCAATGTTTATCCAAGGGGCACTGAATATCCTTGCCCTCCTGTCTGCTGACTTGCCTGCTGGTTTTTCTCTCAGTAACCTTCCCCCTCACCTGTATGTTCCTTCTGTGTGAAAGCGTTCTGTGAAAAGCATTATTTTCTTAGAATCTCATTAACCATCTTTCTTTAGCCTGAGTTTCTCCTTTGCAGCCAAAAAGCCAAAAAAAAAAAAAAAAAAAAGAGAGAGAGAATGAAATATATTGAAGAGAAAAAATAATCCTATAAAAATTTATGTTTGCATTATTTAAGACCTTGACTAATGATGTCTGGCTGCTTCTTACATTGTTACAGTGGAGCAGAGAAGCCTAAATTATCAGTACATTTGTATGTTTTACCCTATAGGACAGTAGTTCTCAATTATATCAGACTTCCTCCATGCACTTTTAGAATAAATCCTTTGTAACAACCTCCTTGCTCTCCTGAAATGAAATTCAGAGTACATATATTTTACTTACACATATAATTTTTTAAAAAATCAATATTCTGGTGTAACTATACTATAAAGGAGTAAAAAAGGAAAGTAATATATAATAAAAGAAGCTTCATTAGAATGTATGAAGAAGTAGAGATATGTGAGCATCTTTCTATACAATTGTCACTAACACACCTCTAGGACTGAAGACTGGGACATATGTCACACCTAAAAAGCATGATCTTAAAAGCACGATCAGTGTTGGCTTTGGTGTTGTGATTTTCTGAAATGGTGAACAAATCTTGCTAAAGTTTTAAACAGAACGAAGTTCAATCTTCCATCAAATTTTATGTTGTTAAATTTCTGAAATATTTAGCATGTATAACAATCATGCAACCATTTTGTATGCGTATAGAATGAAGAGTAGATCTAGGCTCAGATAATGATATTTATTTATTTATTTATTGGTGACTGGCTGGTACAGAGATTGAACCCCGGATATTGGTTATCAGCAACACACTCTAAACAACTAAGTTAACCAGCCAGCCCCTTTAGATAATGATGAATAGGTTTTTCACTTAGATTACTTATAACAGTTGTCAACAGGACATTTGAACATGTGTACGACATGGGATTATTCTTCATTGTTCAGGATATCCAGCAGCACACATTCATGATGACCATATGAATGCTCCACAGACTTCTAGAACTTCTCCTACGGGATAGCACCACCCCTGTGGCAAATAAAGTGTGAGCTGTTTGCAAGCGCAGATTTTTATCTTCCTCCTCTATAGCCCCAGGGTCTTCACAGTGCCTGATGCTACATATGTATTTGCTGAGTCAAGAGTATGGCAGGATTTGCTAGGGTGTTGCATAATCTACCAGCAATTTCCATGGATGTTCCAATAGAATTTAGATCATTGCCAGAGATTTAACATTCTCATCTTGGCTTTGATCTCTTCCAAAATATAAACCTAACACTCTACCCATGTGACCAATATTTCAAATAGTCTTTTATTCATTGCTTCTATAAAGGTTCATATCAATACTTTCATGTAAGCCCATTTTAAGTAAGTAACAAAGATGAACCAGAATCATATATTGATCCTTGGAGATGCCATCTAAGCTCAGCTGGACAAGCTTTCTGACTTTCCCATATGGTTGGATTGTGTGCTATCTACTGAGTGGATAACACATGGTATTAGGTTTGTGCATCAAGTTTTCAAGTTTGGTTTGATAAATTTTATGTTTGTAAAATGTCCCT